TTGGCTGTTGCTGTTATCCCCTGAGAGACCATTCCCCTCAAACGTATCCAAAACAGTATATCTGTTTTGCAGGGCAATAACCACAGGGGATTCCTGCACAGCCTGTTTAGCCCTCCTGCTCTGCTGGTGGTCACCTAGTCCCTACCTGCCTGTGGAGCGTGAATCTGCGGTGTGACCACCTCTCTAAACGTGCTATCCACGACACTGCCCTCCTTGTGAATGTGCCACAGTGTCCTCTGATGCCACGACAATTCCACAATTTGGGTTTCCAGAAGCTGCAACTGGAGACACTTATTTCACACATGCAGGTCCCAGGCACCGGTCATCAATAGCAGGTTCTTCCACGATACCCTCACACCTGCGCTCTGCGAAGCCCACTGCCAGAATGCAAATGAGTGATGTCTCAGCATCCTCTGGTTGGATCATACACCCAATTAGATGACTTTTACTATCGTAATTTTACCAACCTCCACCACTTCCTCTGCTAGCTCATTCCATATACGCACTACCCTGTGCAAGAAAAAGTTGCCCATTAGGTCCCTTTTAAATCTTTCCCCTCTCACCTTAAAGCTATGACCTCTAGTTTTGGACTCACCACCCCAGGGAAATGATCTGGTCTATTTACCCTATCCATGCTCTTCATGACTTTATAAACCTCTATAAGATCACCCCTCAGCACCCCCGACGCTCCAAGGAAAATAGCCCCAGTCTATTCAGCCTCTCCCTATAGCTCGACCCTCCAACCTTGGCAATATCCTTGTAAATCTTTTCTGAACCCTTTCAAGTTTCACAACAACCTTCCTATAGCAGGGAGACCAGAATTGCATGAAGTATTCCAAAAGTGGCCTAACCAATGTCCTGCACAGCTGCAACATGACCTCCCAGCTCCTATACTCAATGCACTGACCAATAAAGGCAAGCATACTAAATGTCTTCTTCACTACCCTGTCCACCTGCGACTTCGCTTTCAAGGAACTATGAACCTGTACCCAAGGCCTCTTTGTTCAGCAACACTTCCCAGGACCTTATCATTAAACGTATAAGTTCTGCCCTGATTTACCTTTCCAAAATGCAGCACCTCACATTTATCTAAATTAAGCTCCATCTGCCACTCCTCGGCCTATTGACTTTTCTGATCAAGATCCCATTGTACTCTGAGGTAATCTTCTTCGCTCTCCACTATAACCCCCATTTTGGTGTCATTGGCAAACTTACTAACCATTCCGCCTATGGTTCACATCCAAATCATTTATATAAATGACAAAAAGCAGTGGACCCAGCACTGATCCTTGTTGCACACCGTTAATCACAGACCTCCAGTTTGAAAAGCAACCCTTCATCACCACAGAGATAGTAAGAACTGCTGATGCTGGAGTCAGAGATGTGGAGCTGGAGGAACACAGCAGGCCAGGCAGCATCAGAGGAGCAGGAAAGCTGACGTTTTGGGACGGGACCCATCTTCAGAAATGGGGTGCGGCAGCAGTCTTCTCCCTTCAAGCCAGTTCTGTATCCAAATGGCTAGTTCTCCCTGTATTCCATGCAATCTAACCTTGCTAACCAGTCTACCGTGAGGAACCTTGTCTTATGGTTGTGTTATCCAACTAGCGACTGTGTGAGGAGCTTTGATATCTGTTGTTCACCTACAGTGGACTGCTGCCACTGTATGTTGTGAGGGAGTGAATGTTTAATGCAATTGACTGTTACCCAGTGAACAGCTCATGATGATGCTGCTTGGGCAGGAAGTAGGTCAAGATGACTCCTTGATCACACACCTGATGATGGAAATTCAGAAGAAAGTCAACCACCTGACGTAATCCAGTAGGCAAGCTAGGGGTGTCCAAAATCTTCCAGTCTTTCTGGCTAATGCAATGTGGAGGTGTTGGTGTGAGATTCTTCCCTTTTACATACACAAAATGCAGAACACTTAAACCCTTAGGATGGTCCTCAATGGTGAATGAGAGCGTTGCTTACAAGTACCCTGCTTTAGTTTGGCAGCATTCCATGCAAATCAGGGATATCTAAACTTCATCACTACCAACCCTCACCCAAGCTCCCTGAACTTCTGTAAATGGGATTTGTTCCTGAAGAGAACAAAAACAGAGGTTGCTGGAAAAGTTCTGCAGGTCTCGCAGCATCTGTGACGAAAAGTCAGAGTTAACGTCTCAGGTCCGGTGACCCTTCCTTAGTTCCTGAGGAGTGTTTTGCTCTCCACATAGTCTAAACTGTATTTCTCAACAGGTAGAATTAGAAACTCAAACGTGGTGATGGATTTCTGCCTTTTGCAAAGCAGAAGAAGAGTGGGGGTCATGGTCTTGTTTTTTATTTATTGTTTCACAGGATGTAACAGGCTGGGCAAATGTCTATTGCAATTCTTAACTACTCTTTTTGAACTACTACAGAACATCTTGTGTAGATACGTCCACAGTGATGTTAGGACAGGAGTTCCAGGATTTGAATCCAGAAACGATGAAGGGACAGTGGTCTAGTTCTAAGACAGGATGGTGTGTGGCTGGAGGGAAACCTGCAAGTGGTGCTGTTCTCATGTATTTATTGCTTTTGTAACTCTAGTTGGTAATGCTCATGGGTTTGGAAGGTGTTATTGAAGGACACTTGATGAATTGTTACACTGTAACTGTGGATGGTACACACTAGTGCCACTATATGGTGTGGGAGTGAATGTTTAAGATGGTGGTGGATGGGATGTTGATCAAGTAGGCTGTTCTGTCCAGGATGGTGCCAAGCTTCTTGAGTGTTGTTGGAGCTACTCTCATTCAGGAAAGTGGAGAATATTCTATCACATTCCTGATATGTGCCTTGTTGTTACTGGCTGGGCTTTAGGGAGTCAGGAAGTGAGCTCCTTTTTTGCCACAGAATGCTAGCCTCTGACCTGTTCCTGTAACCACAGCATTTATATGGCTTCTCCAGTTTCTGGTTAATGATAATCCCAGGATGTTGGTAAGAGAGATTTGGCTATGTCAATGTTAGTGAAAGTTAAGGGGAGATGGTCTGATTTTCTTGAGTTGAAGGTGGTCATTGCTTAGCACTTATGATGCCTGTCAATCATTTCAGGTCAGTTAACACAGCTTTGAAGGACCACTTCCACTTCAAATTCAGAAATGTTAGCTACCCATAATTTTCCTTTGTTTTTAAATGCTGACAAGTTTGATTCTGAAGTGTGGGTTATAAGAGTTTATCCACAATTCAATTTGAAGGGTATATCAGCTGTTCGATCTGGTACTTGTCCGTTATAGTAACCTCCTTCCAATACCTCAAAACTGAGATAAATTTACTAAGAAGCCAACAACTGACACATTAGGGGGAGGAACAATTAAAATGAAGTTGAAGAAACAGGACATGGGCAGCATGGTGGCTCAGTGGTTAGCACTGCTTCCTCACAGTGCCAGGGACCCGGGTTCAATTCCACCCTCAAGCAACTGTCTGTGTGGAGTTTGCATATTCTCCCCGTGCCTGCGTGGGCTTCCTCCAGGTGCTCCGGATACCTCCCACAGTTCAAAAATGTGCAGGCTAGGTGGATTGGCCAGGTTAAATTACCCATAGTGCCCAGGGATGCATGCTAGGTGGATCAGCCATGGGAAACGCAGGGTTACAGCGATAGGGTGGGTCTGGGTGGGATCCTCTTCGGAGGGTTGGTGTGGACTTGATGGGCCAAATGGCCTGCTCCGCACTGTAGGGATTCTATGATTATTGGACATTCAAACCCTTTGCCCATACATTCAAAAGAAACTCTTGTTTGGGAAGAAACAGATCAGGTGGAAGATACCGGCGTTGGATATCAGTTGCCCCAGTCTTGTCATTCTGGCTTTTAAAAAAATTGCTGTCAAGTGCAATGCAACCAAAACAGCATGTCAAACGGTTAAAATATCATGAGGGGCTAGCAACCCCCAGTGCTGTCCCCCTCCTCCCTTCCAACCAATTACAAGAAGTTCACTTATCACACTGGCAATGTAGGTTCCCTTGTCTGTGGATCAATCCGATTCAGGTTACGTTTTGCACATCGCTGAAAATTTTTCTGGCGCTGTTGAGCGTGTTTACAGAGTGATGAAGTTGTTAACCGTTGCATTAACAAAAAAAAACTTGTAACGTCGAGAACTACGTGCTTTCAATGCAATATCGAGTCTGAATATTGCTGGGATTGTAAATTTAAACAATACAGATCCTTAACAGAAATCTCCACAGTTTGATGAGTAAGTTTAAGTGGAATCCATCAAGTCACGGGCAGTGAGCAGGTAAGAGTGTGAGTCAAAACAGAAGTGGGGCTGTTCATGAAGGAGCCAAGACAACTTTCGACAGGGACACTTCCAGCTCTAGTTCAATAGATGTTTTCCTTTGGAAAGTCTGGTTAGTGCATTTACTGAAGAGAGATTTGGGAGCCGCTATAAGCAGCCAAATAACATTAACACAGGTCTCGGACCACTGGCATATAATTACTACCAGATGTTTTTTTAAGAGAAACAAATTAAAGGACATTGCAAAACTCGGGGTCAAAATGCCTGCTTTCAGAATGTCGAGTAAACAACTCGATCGAGGGATGTGGAGAATTCAGCTTGCGAAAGGTTATTCATCATTATTCATTGATATTTATGAATCATGAATTAATCGATCACTTCTGTAGGACCCCCAGTACAGGGGAAAAAACAGCAACTAAACCCAACAGGGCGCCAAGTAATCCGGACCCCCACAAAGTTCAGTGAAAAAAATAACATTCAAGAGAAGACTCCTTCATGTCATACAAACAACTTGCTGGTGTTGACAAAACCAATCACTTAACCAGAGTAAGGTGATACTTAATGTTTTGAACACTGATTTTGCACACAATTAATTTTCAATGAAATGAACAGTATGTAACTATATCTTGTTGTTGAGCATGAATACAATACACGTCAACGCGCTCATCGAAATCTAAGATTCCTCACGTTAAATATAGGAAGGGATAAGATATTCCTCGAGTTATTTAAATTTCGCTCTAACTTTGAACCTACCTTTCATTTTGGCGGCGAAACGGCTCATTAAAATAAACAGGAAACAATGTCCTCACTCCAGAAAGCTAATAAAGCGATACCGGTGTTTTGATGTTTCTATGTTGCTTTCATGGTAGATGTCTGGGTAGGTATCAATTTCCTACAATAACCAATATTCAGAGTTCCCAAATAACACACGTTCTTGGGGTTTCTTCTGAAGTTTTTTATATGTATCAAGCTAAGATTCAAATATCCGTTGGCATTGGAAGAGCGAGCAACCCCGAATGGCTTGGAGAATGTCTCGCCAATCTCTCCTCTCTCTCGAGTTGCAAGCTGCACTCAGCAAAGTGTTTGGATATTTGAAAGTTTCAAGTCGAGGATTTTACTCGCTGGCTGCTATCAGACCACAAAAATGCAAAACGTAAAAGGAAGTCCCCAGCCTGCAGGCTGTCCTCTAGCACGTGTTTCCATCATCTGCCTGCTTCTCTTTGCATTTGTTTACAGTGGGGATGAATGCAAATTCCGCTGGAGCCCCAGGTACTGCCTTGAGCGAATACCAATGGGTGATATGTCCGGGTCGTATTACACATTACGTGACTCGTAGGAGAAATGAGTGCAAGGAATCTGGTTTTCATTTGGCCTCGGTGCAAAACATCACAAAACTCTTAGAGGCAGCATCGTGCAGTTTTGCGTTGAAACATTTCTTCTGTTCTGTCTTTGCTTTTGTCTGGTTTTGAAGTCTTCCGGGATACTGTCTAACCAAATCAGGATGGAATAACAAACTGATATATCGAAAGTCGCTGCTGTTTTAGTACATTATAAATAAACACAGCTTCTTGGCTTTTCTATTTTGATCTCAACTTAGATTGGAGTTATATTGGGGAGGAGTCAGCAGCAATAAACCATCAATTTAGGAAGAGTGAGGAATTTGGCCAGAAGACATTTCATGTTACTGTACATTGGATGTTTTGCGGTAGGGAACAGTGAGGCAGAAACTATTGCAACTTAAGAGAAATGTTGATAACTTGAAATCAACTCATTTATAAAAATTGAGGCACAGTAATGATAGAGGGAGAGGCAAACATTGAGGAATGGCTTCTAGTGAAGAACTGGCAGGGCAGTGACACGTGGATTTTACGATTCCATTAACCATTTATAACACACAATTAAGATAGTCTTTTGATAGTCAATTTGCTTTTGATGCTAGACACAACTGAAATCAGATTTAATTGGGGTTCAAATTCATAAATTCACTTCTTCCTAATTCCATAACATTTTTCAAACCCGTAACCTTCCAAAGAAGAAACCCTCAGTCATACGCCTGTTCTCCCCCCATTACATCTCCTCTGTTTGGTGTTCTTCATTTTATCAACATCCCTCAAACTCTGAAATCAATTTTTAAATCCTAACTTGCTTCTCCAGCCCTTTCTGTAGGATTCTTTTGAAAAACTCTTTGGCTAGGCGTTTGGTCACCTTTCTCTTTCCTTGGTTGAGCATCAAGTTTCTTGTTTGTGAAGTAGTTTGCATCAACATTAAAGGCATTGCAGCAGATTTTGCAGTCAACAATAAAGTGAGGGCACTTATCACTGACCATGAAATAACTCGGTGAATCCCAGTGATGTCTCTGGTCAGAATTTCACCTCTGGCACTTTGCAATAGCTAATTGCAATGACCTTGACTGGGCATTCATACGTGGAACTAGTGCAATGACATCAAATTGTCTGAGCAGCAATCATACAGAAGGATTTCATAGGGACACAAACAGGACCAAACAGCATTGAGGTACACTAACTTCAAAACTGTTTATATGGAGCAAGTTAAAAGTTTGTAATATACATTGTGGGTGATGGTAGAAACTAAAATGTTTTGAAAAAAAAGTTTTTAAAAGATGCCTAAAAATTTAATTGATTTATCGTTTAACAGAATTCCATTATGATAAAATTATTTTTTCAGGACAAATAAATTTTACCAATTACACCTGAAAGAGGGAGGTATAACCTTTGTGGAGGTTCAAGCATTTTTGGGCCTGGGGACATTGAAATTCTTGCAGATTTTTGCAGAATAAGAACAGAACAAGCTGGAAAATCTCAGCAGGTTAGGAAGTAGCTGAGGAGAGAAATGCACTTAATGTTTCAGTTCAATGACCTTTCCTGATAAAAGCTCAGAAACTTGAAACATTAATTCAAATTATTTCCAGCAATGCTGCCTGACCTGCTGAGTCTTTCCAGTTTTCTTTGTTATTGTATTGTCTCTGTCCCTCTGTCTGAAACTCTCAATGAATGATTAGGTAGCCATCTATTGTGGATATCCAGTCTCCCTGAGAATCCATCCTTGTACTTTGAGGGTTGTAGTGAAGACCAGAGATAACGTGAAATGGTGAAGTATGAAAGAGACATGGCAGTTGTTAGGATAGCGACGTCCATGTGCAAGAAGATGTTGTTGTGGTCACAGATCATTTGATCGTTGAAGGAGAAGGTCTTCCTGAAGGTGAATTTGACTGATTGGTCATAAGAACATAGGAAACTTGAGTAAGTCTATCGAGCCTGCTCCACCATTTACGATGATGGTTGATAGGATTCCGCATACTTTTACCCATACTTGCTCAATAATCCTTTACACTATTGGTGATTGGAAATCTATAAAACTCTATTTTAAATATACTCAAAAGGCTGAGCTTCCACAGCATTCTGTGGTAGAGAATTCCAAAAATTCACAACACATTAAAAAAATAAATTTATGTTCATCTTAACATAATTATTATTTTTAAATTGTACCCTCTGATTCTTGGCTCCCCAGCCATGGAAAACACCTAATATTGCATTGACCCTGTCCATCCTTTAAGTATTCTGTAGGCTGCTATGATCACCTCTCATTCTTTTGAATCTCTCGAGAATACAGACTCATTTTACCCAATCTCTCTTCTTAGGACGGTCTCGTCACCCTGGAAACAAATCTAGTGAGCATTCATTGTACTCCCTGTATGAATTGAACCAAGACTTCACAGCTTCTGTACTCAAATCCTCTTGTGATAAAGGCTTACATTCCTAATAGCTTGCTGCATCAGCATGTTAGTCTTCAGTGACTTATTGACATGGTCAACCAGGTTTCTTTGCATATCTGTTGTTGCACTATCCAACCTCTCACCATCTAAGAAATATTCTGCACATGTGTTCCTTCTGCCCAAGTGGATAACCTCACATTTTCCACATTATATTCCATCTGCCATGGTCTCGCCCACTCACTAAGCCTGTCCAAATCCTTCCAGAACAGCTTTACATCTTTCTCACAACACTCCTTCCTGCTAGTCTTTACGTTATCTGCAAATTTGGAAACGTTACTGTTGTTCCCAAACCACATCCAAACCATTGATATCTTGTAAACAGCTGGTACCCAAGTACTGACCCTTTAGGTGCCCCACAAGTGACAGTCTGTTAACATGAGAATGATCCATTTATTTCTACTCTCTGTTTTCTGCCTATTAGTCTATCCTTCAGCAATGCCATCCCACTTGCTTTAGTATTGCTAACCATCCTCCTGTGGGAGACTATATCAAAGGCATTGTGAAGATCTAGGGCAAAAATCATACTACACCAGGTTATAGTCAAACAGGTTTATTTGAAAACACTAGCTTTCATAGCACTGCTCCTTCCTCAGGTATAGTGTGGAAAATGAGGTATACTGACACTGAAAGGTAACAACCCTAAAAATGGCTCACTGACTGCCTCCTGTTAAATCTTTAATCAGTTGGACAGGAGACACATGTTTCTATTGATTAAAATGCAAATCCCAGCATTTATTTCAAGTCATTGCCCCAAGATACTTAAAGATTTTATCAGTTTGTACAAGAGATGACATCTCAGGTCAGAGAATGCAGAGAATGTGAGGCCTTGTTTAGAATCTGTCTGTTTTTTAACCTGGAGTTCAGGCTGTTTTTTTTAAAAAAAATAGAATGTGTCTGCAAAAACATAAACATCTTGGATGAAATAATTCAGCCCATAGATTTATATATGTGTGTGTGTGTGTGTGTGTGTGTTTGTGAGTGAGAGAGAGAGAGAGAGAAAGAGTGTATATGTGTGTGTGTGCGCACGCACATGCACCTTGAGAGAGAGTGTGTGAGAGTGTTAGGGAGTGTGTGTGTGTGAGGGTATGTATGTGTGTGAGTGTGAGTGTGTGTGTGAGAGAGGGTCTGTGTGTGTCTGCAAGTGTGTGTGCTTTTGTGTGAAAGAGTATATGTGTATGTGTGCATGTGTGTGAGTGTGTGTGACAGAATATAGTGTGGTGGGGTCACCTGTTGCACAACATGAACCCAATATCACGTTTGAGGCTGTTCCTCATGGGTACAGAACTTGGCAATCAGCCTCTACTCAGCAATTTTGCATTGTTGTGTATCTCGAAGTCCACTTTGGAGGACGCTTAGCCGAAGGTCAGAGGCTGAATGTCCTTGACCACTGAAATGTTCCCCCACTGAGAGCTCAGCAGTCAAGGGCATTCAGCCTCCAATCTTTGGTTAAGCGACCTCCAAGGCAGACTTCGAGATACACAACAATGCAAAATTGCTGAGCAGAGGCTGATAGCCAAGTTCCGTACCCATGAGGATGGCCTCAACCGTGATCTTGGGTTCATGTCATGCTACATGTGACCCTACCACACTATATACTGTCACACATACACACACACTCTCTCACACAAACACATTTACATGCACACACTCACATAGACTCTCTCTCCCACACATACACAAAAACATATAAATCTTTGGGGTGAATTATTTCAACCATGATGTTTGTGTACTTGCAGATACATTCTATTTTGTTCAAAAAAATAAAACCAGCCTGACTCCAGGTTAAAACAGATTCTAAACAAGGCCTCACACCAAAAATGCATTATCTGGCCTGAGATGTCATCTCTTCTATACACTGATAAAACCTTTAAGTATCTTGGGGCAATGACTTCAAAGAAATTCTGGGATTTGCATTTTAATCAATAGAAACCTGCGACTCTTTTCTAACAGATTAAAAATTCAACAGGAGGCGGTCAGCAAGCCATTTTTGGGCTGTTACCTTTCTGCTTATAATTTCTGCATCAATATACCTTCTTTTCCACACTGTACCTGAGGAAGGAGCAAAGCTCAGAAGGCTAGTGTTTTCAAATAAACCTGTGGGACTATAACCTGGTATTGTGTGATTTTTGACCTTGTCCACCCCAGTCCAACACCGGCAGCTCCATATCATGGCTACCATCTGAAAATCTAAGTATACTATTTCTATCAACGCTCCTGTATCAACTTTGTTAGTAACATTTCAAAAAAAAATTCAACAAGTTTGTGAAACCATTGCAAATCCATTTTGACAATCAGATCATTTTTAGCCAAGTGCCCATTTACTACATGCTTTCTATTAGATACAGATACATTACCTACTACCGATGTAAGGCTGAAATATCTCTGGTTCCCTGTTTACTCTCTTGTTCCTTTCTTAAATGGTGTGGCAAC